GCTCATCAAGGACATGGAGGGGGTCTCAACTCAGTCCTGGACCCAGAGCCTTGAAGGCTCCCTGGATCCCCTGGACAGTTCTCCCCCAGCTCTTCAAGGACATGGAGGGGGTCTCAACTCAGTCCTGGACCCAGAGCCTTGAAGGCTCCCTGGATCCCCTGGACAGTTCTCCCCCAGTCATATCAGCAGCACCCTGTGAGTGCCAAGATAAGTCGGATTTTCAGGGCCAGACATGAGTCACTGGCTTGGAGATGCTGGGATCTGCTGCAGCCTACCTCAGTCCTACCTCAGCATCTCTTAGGCACTTGGGAACCCACTGCCTGCTCTTCACCTCACTGATGCCTCATAGGTGTCCTCTCTCACACCACAGACCCTCTTACTCTGGCAAGGCTGGCCTTTCGGTTCCAGGAACACCCAGGCCCTTCCCGCCCTGCCCCAGTGTCTTTGCTGTCGCTTCCCCCTGTTCATCACCTTCTTTTAGCTTGTCACATGCTTGGTCCCTTCTCCTCATTCAGAGTTCCCCTGCTTGGGAACAAGTCACTGTTCCTCATACATACACTTCCCAGGGGCTCCGTGTCACCCTGTTGAGTTCCTCCGAAACCCTGGACTTCATTTCCCTGTTGTCGTGTTTGGCATGTGCTCCTGAAGGGCAGGCTTCCAGCTGCCTCCCTCACCCTCAGGTTCTCAGCTCACAGTCTTTGAACGAATGACTCCTCCTCTGAGAGCCTCCTGCCACTGTATCAGGTGGAACCCCCTAGCCTATCAGGCAACTTTTTGGCATGGATTGCTGGCGGCCTGAGTTCTCCAGGTGCCAAAGCCAGTGGAAGGAGGGGGACCCTGACCCCAAGGCCTGCCAGGCTTGGGATTGTTTCTCTGGGGGGAGGGAAGAGAAGCCTGGGAATGGAGGTTTGGAAGAAAGTCACAGAGAGGACGAGGTGGCTGACTCCAATCTCAGAAGTGCTGCTGGGCTCAGAAGCAGGAAAGAGGAAGTGCCGGGGGTGTACCAGGAGGTGGAGCCTGGCTAAGGGTTGCAGGGAGGGAACCAGCCCGGGCCACTGAGATCTACAGGCAGAAGTTCGCTGAGACTCTTTTATCTGTAAAGCTGTGATTTAATGGTACAGAGTCTTGCTGGCGACTCCCTGCCATCTGTGAGCCATGGAGGTGGGGTGGCCAGAATCCTGGACTTGGCATCCCTGTGGGGCCTTGGCTGTTCCTGGACTCTGGGCGGGGGCAGACATGCCTACCCCGAAACTGCCTTTGGGGAAGTGCTGGCAGCTTCCCCTTCCTGGAGCCCGTGGGCTGGTATGTCACGGCCCACTAAGGGGGTCTCCATTCCTCACCCTGTTCAGCCTGGTGCACGACAGGAACTCAGGACAGAAGAGCTGCTCTGTGGCCTGTGGCGAGCCCCAAGGCTGTCCTAGCTCTCCAAGGGAGCCAGTAGCAGGCCCTTCATTACAGCTGGGGCACTATCCTCATTTCTGCTGAATGTCATTTCACTGTCCCTTACAGTCTAGTTCATGGGGTGCTGGAGCAACGTGCAGTGCAGAGACAAATCATGGCTCCTCTGGTGCCTAGGAGGCCCTGGCTGGGCAACCATCCTCTGCCGCCAGAACAGTGTCTCATGAAAGGATAAAAGAACTCCTCGGTTCCCAAGTGTGAAGGAAGCAGCATGCCTGTATGTCCCTCACTGGACGACCATGGATGGGTCCTGACCCCTCTGGGTCTCAGTGACCTCAGCTGCAAACCCAGATGTTTCTCTAGCTCTGACCCTGGATTTTCTCCCCACCTCTTCCCGAACCCCCTTCCCAGTCCCTGTTCCCTCTTCCTTCAGTGATCTCCCTCTAACACTGCGCACACCACCTCCACCAAGAAAGCTTCCCAACCTTCCCATGTACCTTGAATTTCTCCCCGCTCTCCACAAACAGCTATGGCATTTTTTTTATAGCAACAGCAGGATTAATTGTTAACACTTCTCCCCGATCCAGGGTGGGGGAACCCCTGGAAAGGGTGAATTAAAGTTTATGTGATTCATTCATTTCATTTAACAAAGATTTACCTACCAGCCTCAAGGATTAAGCTGTAAGGGGTCTGGAATCAGAGATCTGAGTGGGGGGAGAGACTCACCACCAGGCCTGTTAGGATCTGTTGGGGGAGGGGAAGCCCCAGGACAATAGGAGTCAGAGATGCCCAGTTTACAGCCAGGGAATGAAAGCTAGGGAGGAGGGAAATGGAGGAAGGGATAAAGGAGAACATGCAAGAGGGTGGGGAAAGCGAGCCAAGTCAGATGGCTGGAGTGCTAGGGTGTCACAGAGAGGGAGATGATGTGGGCCTTGGTGGGGGACAGCCCCTACAGGGCCTGGCAGAAATTACTATTATAGCAAGTCACCCGTACTGAGGGCGTTCCATGTACCATGCACATTCTGAACATTTACCTACATTTCCTCCCTTAGCCCTGATCTCTGCCAGTACATTGGGTAGCTATGACTCTTAGGTCCACTTTACTGATAAAAAGACTTGAGACCCAAGGAGTTTCTGGTACTTGTCCAAAGTAATACGCAGCCAGGCAGTTTGCAGACTGCTCTTCGGAGAGTCCTTGCTGTCAGCCACCACTGTTGCACTTGTGCCCCTGCACGGTCCAAAGCAATGTGTGTGGGCTTTATTCTCAGGGTACTGGGGAGCCACAGAAGGTTTGTGTGCAAGACAGTGATGTGGCTTTGAGTAGGATTCCCTTGACTGCAATGTAGAAGATGTAGAGGAAACTGGAGAGCCTAGAATAAGGGACAATGGGGCCATATTTGAGTGGGAGTTCAGGAGGTAAGGAAGGGAAGAAACTGACAGGGTGTAGGGATGCAGAGGAAGGATGATGGCTCTGGCTGGTCACAAGGCCACCAGGTGGAAAGCCCAGGAATAGGGATTATTGGGGGTACTTGAAATGACTGGGCTTCAGAGCAGGGATGAACATGGGGCTGGTGATTCAGGGAGAAGCTGGGCTGGAGATGGTCCTGTGGGGTTTTGAGCCCCAGAAGTGGTATGTGACGGGAGGAGCAAACAGAGGCTTCTTTCCAGTAGCCCTGGGGCCCCCATGGAGACAGGGAGGGAGCAGCCAGGAGCACTGGATGCAGGGGTCGCTGGACTCTAGGAAGAGCACTTGAAAGGAGGGACTAACTGGTACAGATACCACAAGAACTGGCTTGGGGCCAAGGGGCCATGCCTCCCAGTGGCCCTGTCCTGCCTGGCCCCATTGATTGGGGTCTGTGTCTGCCCACCTCTGGTGAGCCTGGCCTATGAGGGGCTGACAGGTTTTCCTGTTGCCTGGCAACTGCAAGAGCTGTTGGCTGTTGCTAGGAGCAGGCTGGGGAGGCCTGAGGAGGGAGGATCAGCTCTCAAGTGAGGGGCGGGGCTGTCGAGGGAAGAGGCCCGCCTTGGAACTGGGTTTGTAGCCTTTGTGGACAGGCTGTGTTCTCGACTGTGTGCACCCATGTTTACAAAGTGTTCTGTGGATTTGAAGCATTTTGGAGGTTGAGCCTGTGTGTGGATGTATAGAGCATATCTCAGAATGTCTGTCCCTGGGTGGGTATTGTGTGTTTTCAACAGGTTCGCTGCGTGTTTGTAGCAGGCCCTGCCTGCGCTTTGATTCCAGGCAGGACAGAGTCCTGGGGGAACCATTTGAGCATTTACAGGCTAATGCCTCCTCAACAGGGGAGCCATTCAAATAGGGACACACAGACATTCCAGGGAGAGCAGACAGCTTGAGAACTGGGAGCGGAAACAAGATGTGTGTCAAGGTGGTAAGGAGGGAGTCTGTGCTGAACGGGACTGTGGGTTGCCAAGCATTGCTGGCCAGCTTGCTTCCTGGCCTCGGGGACTTTCCTTGTCTTTGGACTGAGTGAGCCCTCCCCAGCTCAAGGCACACAGGACACCTTTCTGGGTAACCCTTGGCAGACTTTTAACTGTCCAATAGAGGTCGGGGCTGTGGGCTTCTTATGGAGAAGAGAATCAGAAAGACTGAAATGTCCCGCTAGAAATGCTGCTGCCTACCCCCCCCCCCCACCTCCACCTTTGTCCAGCCATGGGGTTGCAGCCACTGTTCAGTGATGACAGGCCATAAGATCATGGCCACTTATGTTTCCAGAAGTCTGGTGGCACCTCTTTCTCTTCCTGGGTCATGGTTGCTGGGTCCCAGGTTGGAGCCCAGAATGGCTCCCTGTTGAATGGCTCCCTCCTAGAAGATCAGAGAAAGAGAACTCTTGGATGATTAGAGAAGGTATCCCCAACTGAGGGAGACAGCCTGGGCAAAGGCATGGAGGTGGCAATAGAATTTTTTCTTTTTTAACTTCAAATGTGAGAGAGAAGGGGTCAAAACCGCTTTAAGACGAAAGAAGCAGTCCAGAGAGCCTCCGGGGCTCTGTGGATCCCGAGACAAGTTTATTGGGTTCATTATCTTTAAGACACGCCTTTTCTGCTCTGCTCGCCTCTGAGGTGCACCGGATCCCGGTCCTCAGGCTACGAGATCTGCCCGCCCCCGCCGTCGAGCAACGGGGCTCCAGGCGCTCTGCACCCAATCGGAGCCCGGCCCCGCCTGCAGCCCGCCCTCCGCCCAGTCCTGCAGCCCGCCCTCCGCCCAGTCCTTCTGGGCTAGGCTCAACCCCTGCAGCTCTCTCTCGGCGTGGCTCCGCCTCCAGCCCGGGCCGAGCTTGGGCTGAGCCTAACTTCGCCTTCGTTCCGCCCTCGAGCCAATCAGCGGCCCCATATCTCCTATGGCCCCGCCTCCGGCCCTGCCCCGGCCCAGTCCCAGGCCTGACTCGCTCCGGCCCCACCCCCGGCCCGCCCTGCCGTCGGTGCGCGGCGGCCTGGAAGGCACCGCCCGCAGACGCTCGGAACTGCCGACTCGGGAGCTACCCGTTGAGGGCCGGCGGCGTGAGCGGAGTGGGGTCGGGCGGGGCCGAGCCGGGCCTGGGCCTTGTGGGGGCCGGGCAGCGGCCGGGCCGGCGGACGGCGGGATGGGCTGCACCGTGAGCGCCGAGGACAAGGCGGCGGCCGAGCGCTCCAAGATGATCGACAAGAACCTGCGGGAAGACGGCGAGAAGGCGGCGCGGGAGGTGAAGTTGCTGCTCTTGGGTGAGGCCGCGCCCTGCGCTGGGACCCCCCGATTCCCTGCCCAAATCCCCAACTTTGACCTGTGGACTAGGGCTTCGAACTCCCAGACTCGGTCTGGATCCCCACACCTGGACTTGAACCCCCCAGACTCGCCCGGCGAAGACATAACCAAAAAAATGGATCAAAACTCTGGGTTGACCGAGACCTCTGATCCGTAGCCCATAGGCCCCATCTTCAACTCATCCCAGAGCCCAAACCCCCAAATACAACCACCAGTGCCCCAACACCCACTGCCCAGGACTCTGCTTGACCATACAATCTTACTGTCCAGCCTGACAGACCCTCAGAGCCCCCTGCCTGTCTTTCCATACTTCCCCTAGACTTTACCCAACCCCCTACCATCCCACTCAGCCCCCACCTTCAGGCACCACCTGTTCCCTCACTCTCCCCCTATTCCTACTGGGCCTGAGTATCTCTAGGGCCCCTCCCAGGCCCCCACTCCCTCCCTCCTTCCCATTCTGTGCCCCATCCCTACTCTGGACCCTGTATCCTCCACCTGTGCACCTTGATCCCAAGGGACTTCTCAGGTGGAAGTTTGGTTTGCACCTCTCAAGTGGAATGACTGCTTAGGAGATCACCTTCCAGCCAGACCCCCCAAACCCTTAGAGACCCCTGCTCCCTGCATCTGGCCCACCAGCTCCCTCTTTGCATGCATCTCTCCTCAAACCCTGTGCTCCCGTGCTCTTAATTTCTCTCCCACACTCTAGCCTTCTCTAGATTTCCCCACCCGCCTCCTGCACCAGGTGGGCCGGCCTGAAAGGACTGGCCTCAGACCCCCTAAGGGCTCCACCGGTCATGTTGGGGGAGGGGACCAGGCCTCAGGCTGCCCAGGGAGTTCTGCTGGCTATCCGTTTCCCAGTTTCTAAGCCCTGTCTGGGCCAGTGAGGGGGGGATCTGGGTTAGGAGGGAGTGTGGAGGAGTTTGGGTTGCGTCGGCTTCAAGGCCAGGAAAGATGGTGGCTGCTTGAGGGGTGGGGGGAAGTGGAAGTGGTGAGACAGCCGACATATTACTGCCCCCGGCGGGCGGGCGGGCCAAGGAGAGCCACTGATGGGTGCTGGGCTTCCCGCACCCTTTCTGGGCCCAAAGGCCTAGGACGTGGCTTCTGAGAGTGGGTGGGCCTGTCGGACCTTGAGGCCCTGCGAGGGGGGAGTGGTGGACCAGCTGGTTGAATAGTGGGGGGCCTGCTACGGGGTGGGCATGTGAAGTGGACTTGTGCAGAGGCTGGGGGCCTGGTAGTTGCCCCAGTCCAGCCTCTCACTGGGAGCAGCTGTGGTGCGCCCAGTGGCAGCCTGATTGGGGGGTGGGGTGGAGTTCAAACCTAGTGGGGAAGGAGGCCCTCGCGGCAGTGTTGGGGGCTGGACCATGTATGTGGGGGGGTGTGGCCCCTCAGCCCCAGAGCTGCCCTGGGGTCCCCAGGCTGGGAAAAGTGGAGCTTTTCATGGTGAGCGTGTGGCCGAGGGGACGGTGTGTCTTCCATCCTGGGCCCATCTGTTGACTGTCCCTGGGGGCCTGGCCTCAGGGGCACAGCCCCGGAGGTTTCAAAATGGCATCCGCTGCCGCTGCGGGGAGGAAGAGAAGGGGCGGGAAGGGGCGGCGGCCCAGCCTCCTGGGCTGTTTTGCGTTGGGCGCTTGCCTCTTCCTGTCTTTGCTGCAAGTGCGGCGGCGGCAGCGAGTGGGTGTCGACGCGGCGGAATGCCCATCGATGCTGCCCGCTGGGCCTGGGAAGGGTGCTTCGGGTACTGCAGCCTCCCAGTGCCCAGCCAGGGGGTCACTAGCCAGCCCCTTCCCAGGCCGATCACAGTTATGGTGGTGCCCGAAGAGGTGTGGGACTGGGCCATGGGCCTGGGGCACACAGGGCCCCTGGCCTGGTTCTGTGTGCTGACCCCATCCCACCAGTCTTGGAACCCGGTTCAGGTTTGGGCCTGGCGACCCTTCTCATACTGAGCTGGCAGTAACCAGGGGTACAGGGTCCCCTAGAAATGCTTGGCACTTTGTAGGCTGGGGAGTCCATCTCAGCATCCTGTCCTTCTGGCCTTTGCTTCCACTGTGAAATGGACTTCCTGGGTTTGGGCCAGAGAAGTGCCGTGCCCAGGATGGGGAGTGGGGGCTAAGACTGTGCAGAGGATGCACTCACTGTAAGGGGCTGTGAGGCCAAACTTTGCCTGAAATTGAGGACTCAGTCTGTCCGGACTGCCCGGAGAAGGGTCCTGGCTGGCCGTCCTTTGCCTATCCAGTTACGGGGGAGGTGAAGGGAGCCCAGCTGAGGCAGCTTCAGAGAGCTGGGCGCCTGTCCCACGTAGCGGAAAGACTGTCCAGGCAACGGGACTTAGGCTGGGCAATTGCCAGCCTTCCCTCCCAGCCCAACCACGCCTGCTGCTCCACCCGCATACTGGCTCCTTCCCGTCCTGGGGAGCCCTGCCAGCCGGCGGGCATAGTCACTGTCCCTGGGGCAAAGGCAGATGTGCTACACACCGGGGAGAGGGGTGTTCCCTGGCAGCTGGGTTGGGGGAGCAGAGCTGCTGATACCGGCTCTACTTCAGAGATATCCCCACCCCCACCCAGTTCAGCTTGATTGACCTGCTGTCCCCTGGTAGAATCGGGGGCCTTGGTGTGGGCGCTTTGGGTAAAGTAAGCCAGAGTGTGTGTTTAGGGGGTGACTCTGATTTGTTTGGGCTTGTGTGGGCAGTCTACAGAGAAAGGAGAGATGGCTCCAGGAAGGCTTCATGGTATAAATACAACAGTTCCCTCTTGCCCCTGGGACTTTGCATCTGTTCCCTTCACTTGATGTACTTTCCCCGCATTTCACTCCTACTTGATTGTTCTTCAAGACTCTGCCCAGGGATGACCTCCCAGGATCTTTCCTGACCCCCTTCTCGAAGGCTGGTAAAGCACCTCCTCTAACTCCCCCACCCCCATGCCCCACCCCCCCCTCCCAATTAGAGCGTGGTATTTGTCTGTGTCACAGCTGCCCTCCCCCATGGCTGGAGCAGGACCGTGTCCTGTTCATTTCTGAGCCTTCTATGCCAAGCATGGAGCCTGGGAATTATTGTCTGTTTGTTGAATGAAAGAAGCACTACTGGTGTGAACTTGGTCTTGGACATGGGTAGATGGAGAAGTAAGATAGCGATCAGTGAGCCATCGCCTGCCATATGGGCAGGTGGCAAGGACTGTGTAAGGCCAATGGCCAGGACTCAAGGGGAGACTGAGGGGAAAATCCTTCAGGCTGTTTGCTTGTGGTCTCATTACGGTCTGCTGGCGCCTCAGTGCATACTCAGTTAGTCCTGTCCGACTCTTTGCGAGTCCATGGGCTGCGGGCCACCAGTTCCCTCTGTCCATGGAATTCTCTAAGCAAGAATACCATTCCCTTCTCCAGGGGATCTTCCCAACCCAAGGATCCAACTCAGGTCTCCTGCTTCCGAGGCAGATCCTTTGCCATCTGACCCAGGCTCCGGAGACAGCCCTTATCCACTCCCTGCAGATCACATAGTAGGGACTCTAGGTGTTCATATGGGAAAACCAGCTTTGCATTCTTCCTTTTAGCTCAGGCTATTTGGGGACTGTTGCAGGCCTGCTCTCTCTGCTGCTGCAGTGGAGCCTGTGTAGCTCTTAGGGCTGGAGCTGCCCCACAGCCATGGGACTCAGACTAGAACAGTGCTGTGGGAGTTCTTGGCCTGGCCAGTGCGGAGACTGGACATTGAGGGGCTCAGTGCATTTTATCAAATGAAAGGAAGGGAGTTTTGTGACGTTAGTCCTGTTTGTCTCTCACAAGGGGCCTGGCACACTGTAGGTGCCTATTAAGTGTGGAAAGAATGAAACTCTTTGCACACATCCCTGAACAGGGATAAGTAATTCTCAAGCTGCTGCCTGGGGCTTGGTGTAGCAGGAGTTAGTGGGAAGGGCTAGCCTGGGATCCTGGCTGGCTGGGTAATAGGTAGAGTCTAGTGATGCGGTGAATTTCGGGGATGGGGGGAATAGTCCTTCCTGGGAAGGGGTCCTCTGAGTTGGCCTTGAAAGATTAGCAGTATTTGCCAGGGTCAGGCACTGGGGGCTGAGGGACCCACTTAGCATGGGTTCTGAAGTGGGAAGGCCTGGCCCGGGGGAGGAGGCCTCACCCTCCTGAGGGGATCACACACACCTAGGTTCAGATCCCTGCTCCACCTGGTGCACCAGCTGAGAAACCCAGAGACAGGTGACATCCTGGTAGATGCTCTGCTCGCCGTCTACAACCTGGGATGGGGTGCCTGCCTGCAGCCACACATGTTGCGGGGATGGTACTCCCAAGACCTGTGGGTGTGAGAACAGGAGAGGGACTCCCCCCCCCCCCCCCCCCCCGTCCCCTGCCGCTGACTCCTGCAGAGCTGAGAGTTTGATGGGGAGGAATCTCCCCAGCTCAGAGGTTGCCTAGCCTTAGTATGGAGGCCCTGGGAACCCTGACCCTTGCCCTTGGGCCGCTGCTCACAGCGAGTTAGAGGTTGAGACTTGTAGATATTTGGTGGCATCTGGAGTGACACACTGCCCTGGGGACCTTACACCCAGCCTTTGGGGGCTGAGCCACCTTCCCGGGGGCGCTTAGGGTTGGGGGTGTGGCAGGGCCCTGGGGTACCAAGTGGGCTGGTACCCAGGCTGTCCTCCAGCCTCCCTGTTCTCCCCACCACCTTCTCCATCCCACCGTCCCGCTATTCCGCCGTCCGGCTGGAGCTCATTAGCACTTGAATGGGGGGCGGGGCAGCTTGAGCGAGTCTCTACTTCCCACCCCTCCCCCAGACGAGGCCAGGCTTTGTCTTCCCGAGTCGGTAGCTGCACTGCTGGGGCTCCCAAGCTAGGGAGTGAGTAGGGGGTCTAAACCATTTCTGACTCCGCCTCTGCCTGCCCAGTCCCCCTGGGCTCAGCCCCTGCCTGTGACCCCCACGAAAGCAGTTGTACCTCTAGGATAGGAGTGAAGCTGGGTCCTTCAGGGGATA